ACACACACTCTCTCTCTCTCTCTCTCTCGCATTGTGCATGCATGCGTAAAATGAAGGTGGGCCACTTACGCAGTTTCTTCCTCCACTTCTGCAATATCATCAATGATCAGGACCACCACCAGCAGCGTGAGGAAGCCGAACAGCAGCGTGCGGAGCAGAAGCGGCATGGCTGAGGGAAGAGGAAGAGGAGGCTGCAGCCGGGGGACCCTTCCTCCAGCACCACACACACACACACACACACACACCGTGTTACATTCACCTTTGTTGTGTTTCATAAACCGAGGATCCGCTCGGCCATCTCTTTGTTCTTATCGCCTGATGAGGAGTGGGACCCTCCAGTTCAGACGAGCTGTGTCCTTCCCTCCTCCTCCTCTTCCTCTGATGATGAAGATGATGTTGATCGCCGTGTGTTTCGCTGCGGCCGCCTCTCTCCACCGTTCCCTCGTATTCCCCAGTCAAACTTTGGAAGCGTGCTCCCACACGGAGCTGCCAGGGGGGACAGTGGGATGTGGAGCTGACCACATGGAGTCTTAAAGGCGCAGGGGCCGCCGCTGCTCTCGAACCTGGGACAGACTGAACTCACTCTCCAGGTGATGCTGGAGTCAGGTGTGCGGGGGAGGGAGCACCGAGCTGCAGCTTTATCACCTGGGGAGGTTGTGCGTGGTGTGATGGTCGCCTATTTTAAAATACAGGTCAAAACTTGAATGGATCAGACACTGATGATGACTTTTTTAGGGTTTCTGTCCCCTGTGGTGGGAAGTAACATATGTGGACTTTACAAGTGGGCAGTGGAAGTGCAGGAAGGTTCCTGGTTGGAATCCTGACTCTTTGAGTGGGATTTGCATGTTTTCCATCTGTCTGCGTGGGTTTTCTTCAGGCTGTCCTTCCTCCTCTCACAATCCAAAGACATGCACTTTTTCTTCTGCATTCGGTAACAATAACTGAGGCCGTGGCTGTGGCTCAGGAGCGGAGTGGTAGAGCCGGAAGGTCGGTGATTCGCTGACCCCCCCCCAATCCCACACACACACTCTGCATCCCTTAGTGTCCTAGGGCAAGACACTTAACCCAAAATTGCCCAGGCAGTGTATGCATGATGTGTGAAAGTGCTGCACATTGAGGCAAGTGCTTCTATAAAAGTATAGACTATTTACTATAAGTGGAGACAGGTCTATGTTTGTCTCAGTATGTTGGCTCTACAATTCTCTGGTGGGATAGGTTACCTGTTAAACTTTATTGGGAAGAAATCACAGATGAAAGTAATTTGACTTCCCCCCTCCATTTTGTGCTGAGACATTCCCACACAGTGACAAATGTTGGACATTGCTATTGTTTCACTGCTCAGAGAATGTAATCTTTTTTTCAAGTACAAAATGGCAGGGCTGCTGATAGAGAGAAGAAGAAAGGCACCAGGCCATTTATTTATGTGTTACTTCAACTACCACTGCCTCTGCTGTGTCTGGACCTTTCTAATATCTTTGAAATCTGTTGTTTTTCCTGAAACAGCTGGTGATGTTTGCATTTTGTTGAATTTTGCCTCTAAGATGTTTGCTACACCTTAAGCAATTTCACTTTCACATTTTACATCTGCAAATGCAGCAACAGTTTACATTTAATTACCTACTGATGAAGCTCTGGGTAAACACGTGTTCATTTTTAATTATGTAAAAGTGTTTGTCCAGTGGCCATTTTCACTATATCAGATAAACTGGGAGCTGCAGGTTTCAGTATGTGGGAACACTTCAGCCACATTTTAATGGTTTGTTCATAAATGACTAAAACATAAATCCACATGTTAGTTGAATTAACTACAGTTTACATTATATTATCATATATTACATTGTTGGCATCATCATTTTTCTCCCTCAGTCCTTCTTCTATTCATATTATTATGTATCTGCTGGCTGGTTTAGTTGCCGTTTAGTTGCAAATGAGGTATAAATGGGTACATTTTAAATGGGTCTTTTAATTTCATGCTTACATTAGCCGCACAACAGTATCGCACAGACACGGATAAAGGGCTAATTTACATGAAGTGAAAAGTGCAGCTGGAGTCTTGAGAGTGCACATAATGATGAATAATACTGTAACTAATAAAATCTAACATCTAATGATTATTCATTATCTAAACAGTATGTTGTACATTTGACATTGTATACAGACATGTTACGTCAGCCCACCTCATCACTGTTTACAGCTTATTGTCGGTGCAGCCAAAGGAAACATTTTATGTCAAGGCCGACAGCCACTGAGGCTGCAGGTATAGTCAACTGTGTGAGGCTCAGTCTGATGTACAGTTTCATGTGCTGCTTGGATGAGTCAGAGAACAGCATCATAGAGGCTTCAACCAGCCGAATGAATGAAGAGCTGCACTCGTTAGTCATCCAGCCTCTGGAAACACGAGAGATAAATGACACATGAGCTGCATTTACTTTACTGCCGTCTTTCTTTTCTTTTAATTGAATGATGAGTGGTGTGAAGTGGCGTGTCTTTTTTTTTTTTGATCTGCTATGGAGCCTCTTAAAAGTCTGATATAATTGAAACTGAAAAATGTATTATGCAAGTATGTGATTTAACACTTATATCGGAATATCTGCAATTTACCTGTTTTTCTATGTTTTCTTTTACACCCTGGTTTTCTTGCACTGTCTTTTGGTTCTTTGCTTATATGTTGTTCCTGACCCTATTTCTGGCTGGGCGAGAGTGTCATCATTCAATCAATACCATAAGCCACAGTTATCTTTAAGAATCAGTCAACCAATTGAAACTGAATTTTTTTTTATCTGCACAAACCATAGACTGTGTATAAAGATGTCTAAAATATGTCTCCTCCTCCTCCCACTATCAAGAAATGAAGACACAAAACACCGGATACATACGCTGCCATCTTGTGGTGACATCATTTGGAACCGCTGCACCGTAGTGATCAGGGGATGGAGTCTCGGTAATGAAGCGCCACGATACATCTACTCGACCAATCACGAGTCACTTTCAGCTGTCAGTCATGACGTTTCAGCCTGTTTTTATAGAATGTGCATTTTGGTTTTATTATTTAGTTTATTTTAGCGAGCAGTTACGTAGTCCATCGTCATATGTAGTCTGTGGCTCAAACAACATAACATTCAGCCAGCTTCCATTACTGCATGCGTCACTGTGGATCTCTGCCTGGCTTCGAAACAAATCCTCAGACTTATAGATTCCTTCTCCTTGTGTGATCAATTCACATTAAAACCTTTTGAACTTACATCTGTCTCCATATGTCTCTGAATAGAAGTCCAAGTCTTCCACTGAGGATTTATTACTTTAACATTTCTACTAAAATTGGTGTGTAACAGTTCATTTTACTGAGGCAGCCATGAGGCTTATTGACGACTTTTGATTAAAAAAAAAGATCCTCGCCTGCAGCAGCTTCTATTTTGAGGTTTTTGGCTTTTTCACTCTGTGTGTTTCTGTGTTAGGCTGCATAGATAAACTTTGAATTGGTCTTAACTTCAGTTTTTAATGCCACACACCTTGATTCAAACCAAAAACCTTGAAGTACAATAGAAGCGTTTCAGTATTTTACCTTACAGAAGGGAGCAGATAACAAGTCTTGGTAACTATAACTCATGTCAGGGTTGTTTATTATCTTCTTGAGAGTGGAGACAGGATGGCAACTCTAAACACAAAACAGGAAATGTCCTCATCTAAAACATTCTTGTGGAGGTGGTAAGATCTCACAGATCAACCACCTCAGAGACAACACTTGGTCAGGCATAACATACGTCATACTCAACACTAAAGGTGTTAAAAGAGACAGTTAGGGTTGAGGTAAGTCTCCAGGAAATGAAGCTAAAAAAAACTGTCTTCTTTTGAATGGCTCCTGAGTCAGCTCACACTCGCTTTTCATCCAATGACAACCTGACATGCCAATCATCTGTGACCTGTCGTTCAGCTCAGTTCAGTACCATGATCCCCCTGACTTCATTGTCTCCATTTCCATGTGTGTCAGACATGTTTGTGCACAATGCAATTCACTTGTTCCAATATAACGTGTGCACATAAGACAAACACTTTACAGGACTTAAGGGAAAAAACGTACGATGCGCACTATGACTTAACAGTGTAGTCGGTGCTGAGGACTCTGGGTAACATTTTACACTCAGCCTGACTAGGAATCAATATGTTCTCATAAGTTCACAAAAGGAACCAACTGTGACTGAGCACCAGCCCGGCACGTTTCACTTGGGTGGAAAGCGGGGTATGAGTGACCCACCTCAGATCTGGATACCGAGTTATCTTCCTCTAACCATCCAATCAGAAGCATTCATGAGACGTCTCAACTACATGCTCTGTTGCCCACCAGTGTCTGGAGGGAAGTAAAGCAGAAATGGTTTGTATTTATATAGCGGCTTTCTAATCTTAAAGTGCTTCAAAGTAAAGTCTTACATTTACCCATTCACAGATCTGTGTGCAGCACTTTCTCATCACTCACACACTGACGGAACAGTGAAAGGGGTTCAGCCTGAGGACACCAGGGACGTTCTGCTTCCCATCGGGGTCTGAGCATCAAAGTCTATTCCTCTGTTCACAATACATTAGATTTCATTTTAATTTACTCATTCACATTTGTTTCTCTAGAACTTTATCCTGATTGTCAAAAATCTAACTGTGTGTGTAGATGTGTGTAGGTGTGTATGTGTGACTTCTTCGACAACCAGTGTTTTGTTAACTGAGGCAGATGCTGTTGATACTGTAGCTGTCTTCATGCACAAGCATTTCTTGCTTTATTGAAGAATGTCATTGTGCTATTAATGGACCTTACAAGCACCTGACAGACACATGCACGCACGCACACACACACAAGAACACACACACGTGCATGCTCTCATTTTTCAAAGCATGATATATCCATCAATACAAGCTTAGAGACGATAGTAATCACGACATGTCGTCTTCCTGTTTCTGTGTCCGCTTCAGTTCTTGAGTCAAGTGTTAAAATTTTTCATAAAGTTCTAATCAATTATTTATTTTACCCAGTGAGATATGTGGTTTCATAAAATGTGAGATTCTTCCCTGTCCAGCAGAATGTATTATGTTGTATTTGATCATGTTTGAAGAAGACAGGGATGTGTCGTCACAGTGTTTGTGCTGCATTCATGTGCGGTTCCAACTTATTCAAGCCTCAGCTGTTTTGCACTGCAGGTTGGTCATTATTGTGGTTCAATTACAAGCTTCTCAGCTCAGTCTTCAAGTGTAAAAAGTGACATGTGTGCACGCAGGCAGCCGAACCACCTGAACGTTGACCTGGAGATGCAGCTACAGTCTCAGGTGAGTCACTAACTGGCTGTGAGCAGGTGCGACAATTTCTTTGAGG